TGCATGTACATTTCACACTTTGTCTCTTTCTCTGTCTCATTTGTTGTTGTATATATGTTATCTCTACTAGTTGGTATCCATCGTCAACGGATGATGACGAGAGAAGAGCTAAGCGAAGATGTTTATGGATGCATGCTCGGTCAAACCTTGGATGATGAAAGGAGTCAGAAAAGTAATCCAATCAACTGCACTAAAAGAAAGAAGATTACAGAAATGGATGGGACTGTGATGGCATTCTTTATATCATAAGAAAAAATTAAGCAAATCAACACAATGGATATCTAATATATATATATATTTATATGATTGAAAACTACGTAAAATATAAGAAAACACTTGTTTCATTTTATTTTCGAAATTCATTAGAGATTATTTTATTCTTACAAAGAAAATCATTATATAATATTTTGTAATCTAAATGCCTCTGTTCATCAGGAGTCATATTGACATCACAGTGCATCCATATATACATTTATATATCGTTAAATTGTCTATATAAATGAGATGAGAGAAGTCATACGGTTTCTTTTATACCCACCCACTCATTCATCCATTTTATTCCATAAGAAAGGAAAGCTCTTGTCGATGATTTGGCCATCACTCATTACTCCATTATACATTATACACGCTGTGTTGGTCGCTAGTTCCTGTTTATAATGATAAGAACGAGCGGTGATCTTGCTCGTCATCATCATCATCATCATCATCATCTTTAGAACTACTGCTGAGAAAAAGGAAAATCCATTTTCTTTCTTTCTTTCTTTTCCGCCTTTTCTCTCTTTCTTTCCATCTTCTTCTTCTTCTTCTTTTTTATCACTCGAAGAAACGGACGTCGGTCTATCAAAAAATGTTGATCGACTCGAATGTTTGTCATCTCATTTCAGAGAACGCATGACTCGCACATATATACATGCAGTTTAGGAAAGAAACAATCTTCCAAGGGGCGCATATACATATATATATATATGTATATATATATACATCAAGGATCGCCCATATACGCTAGTGACGAAAGTCAGCGCAGTGATGTAATGACGTATGCAAAGAAGAGAATTGTGTGAGAGACAGAGACAGAAGAGAAGGGGGAAACAGAAAGGGAGAGAGAGCGAGAGCGAGAGAAAGAGATATGGGAATTGTACAAACGACAACTAGTGCTACCAAAAAAAAGCGCAAGATTATGCAAGTCACTCGGAGAGAACGAGAGAAATAGAAAGAGATCGGCAAATATCTTGTTGTTGTTGTTCTCATCACTATACTAAAGATCGAGCGCGTTTGCGCATATATAGTCGTCGTTTTTGCTGGATATTCGATACGGAAAATGTATCATCCTGGAGCGTTTCTATTCTACTAACATTATCAACAGTAGAATATCAGCATGAATATAACAACGACTACCATCATCATCACTTATAAATGAAAAAAAAGATCGATATACAAAAAGAAACAAACAAACAAATATAAAGGTCATTCTACTTTCTGTTGTAAATTGAACTAATCAAGCTTCTTTCAATATGTATATATTTAATACAAAGACAAGTCGATGTTCTTTATGTTATGCACTTTTATCTGCACATACACATACAAGTAGTTCGACAATTGGTTATTCACCATCCTCAAATAAACGATATACTAGTCGATGTTCGATATCATCAATCGAACGGCTAATTTCATCGTCAAATAAATTCGAACGATTATGGCGTCAAAATGAAAATACTTTAATCAGTAATCGTTCAATATGTTTTCGATGTTGTGATTCAATACGACAACTAGAACAAATTCAAATTGATATTCAACGACTTAATCATGATAAACAAATACTTATGAATAAAATTGAACATAATCTTTCTAAACGTGCACTTATTTTACAAGGTCAACGACATCAAACACATATTCTTCTAAATAATTACCAAGTATTTTTTATTGAAAAAAATTTCCTTACTTGTTTTCTTATATATTAAAGAATTGCTTTTTCTTTCTAGCAAACTCCTTTATATGAAGACGATGATACAGAAGAAGGCGAAGAAAAACCTCGAACAGTAATAAAAACTAATGGACATGGACATCCATCGTCTTTTATAATACCAACAACTACATTAGTTGGTGCTAAACGACGTAAATGTAATATAGCACATAAAATAAATCTTGAAGATAAAGTAATAGATAATTAATTTTGATTTTGTTTTACACAGAAAAATAATATTATTTTTAGGCTGTTGAGTTAACATCTTCATTAGCCAATCATTCAAGACGATCAAGTAATTATTTTATATTTCAACTCTTAAAAAACATTTTTTTCATTCTTTGATTTTTATAAGGTTCCCCAATATCTCATCCAGCAACAAAGTTTTCTCCTAGTCTTATCTTTGGCTCACATTCACCTAAACATCATCAATCAAGTTTATTTTCATCTGGTATAAATGGTCATGATTTATCAAATCTATCATTTGGTTCTACATATAAATCTTTAGCTCTATCAAATGCCTCATTATCATCAACAACAGCAGCAGCAGCAGCTACAACACCACCATTTCTTGATCCAACAACAGGAGCATTAATTGCCATTGTTTCAAATCCACATCATGCTGCATTACTTGCTCAACAACATCAACAAATTTTAAAATCATCATCATCAATATCTCCCTCATCAACACATACAACTGATGAACATGAAATAATACCTGTTAAACCAAATCCACATCCAAAAAAATTTCCATGTCTTCTATGTGGACGTGATTTTTCAAATAAGTCAAATTTAAATCGTCATCATAGTATTGTTCATATTGCTATGAGAAATTTTGAATGTGCACGTTGTCCAAAGAAATTTAAATTAAGACAAGGTCTTAAAACACATATGCAACGATGTCATGGTGTCAATACAGATGAACCAACATTTGTTTTACAAAAACATAATTTACATAATTATCATCGTCATCATCCCTCTTCTTCATCGTCATTTATTGCTCAAACGAATAAATAAACATAGGTGCTACTGTTTTTCTTCTTTCTTTTTATAGTATTCATTGAGTTGTTTTTATATTTCTTTTTTTTCTTTTGTTTGTTATTTATTCAACAGAAATAAATTTTACTCTAATTTTATCATGCAAGTCATATGTCTCATCAGCATGAGTTATTATTGATTAAGAACTAATCAAATGGAAAAAAGAGAAAATCAATGGAATAAATGCACCGAAAGAGCTAAAGATGCTGTTTTCTTGATTCTATTGATATAAGACAATACACAAAGAATCACAAGACAAAATATGAAGCAAATCCCTACAATTTATTGCTTTTATTTACTGATTAAAAATGAAGATAGTACGTGATGATAATTATATGTCCGCTAATGTCTCACAATCATATTTTGAATTGTTTATTAAAATATATAAATCATATGACTAAAAAATTATATAGTTTATAATAAATATCATCAACGTGATTTTTCTAAGATTAACTTCGTATCAATAATAATGACTAATCTATGATTTTATTTTTTTTTGTTATTGTCTTATAAAAAATCTGTAAATTACTAAACAAGTCGATATAGATATTACCTCACTTACTGTTTTTTGTATTTTTCATTAAACCAATATTATGAAATATCTTCATTTGAATTAATATATCAATATTGTTTCTGTTTGTTTTAAATTATTGTAAGTAAACGTAAGAACTATTCATGTTAGCTTTAAGATTGATATTATCATATCACTACGATAAATAATACAAACAAAAAGATTGGTAATATTATCCTGTATATCTATATGATCCTCTCTCCCTCTCTCTTCTTATTTAATTTTAACGACGTTCTTATTAATAATTCCATTCTCATATATAAATAAAAATTATTTCGAAATCTTGCTGTGATCATTAAGTAATATTAATTAGACTATAAAACGCATATATATATCAATTCGAGTCATACAAATCAAACAATCAACTCTATAACAATGACAATAATACTTTGATGTAAAACTTACCAAGGTTAGTTATTGTCATAATATGCAAAATATCTTCATATACAAATACATTAATATTTACTTTATTATGATTGACAGTTATTGATCCATTTCATATGTTTTTTCTCAATAAGAAAATTATCTTTCTAAATAAATGATCTAATTTGATATTTTGATTTACATTTTCAGGTCAAAAGAACCTTAATGAAAACGTTTTCCAAAAGAGAAATCTACGTCTAATTTTGATTTTTTTGAATGATAATGAATAATTTATACATGACAATAGTATAAAATAATAGATAAGTGCATATTTCTTTTTGTTTTGCAAAGATAATTATGAGTAAACTAAATAAACCAATATTTTTTATTGTTGACAGAATTCTTAAGGGAAATCAGCTGAACTGACACATCAAATTGAAAAACATAACATGCTATAATTTAAGTATGTTTCATAGCATATTCTAACGTAAAAAACATGTTCGGTATAAATATTTCTAACACACAATGTGATTTGATTTTTCATCAAAAATCAAGTTTTTGTCTTCATAGTAAAATCGTAGCGCTTATAAATAATTAATAATCACTCTGTATATTAATATATTTATACATCTATTCATTTTGTTTCTTGTCAATATTTCATGAGTTAAATAATGTTTACAATACGAAAAATATATCATCTATTCTATGCTGACACAAAAAAAATTGTTTTTGCTATTAAAAAAAAAAGTATAGGATAATAAACAATTCTAAGTGAAAGATATTATCAATAACCTTTTGATGTCATCAACCATATGGGAATGGTAAAAAGTAAATTGTCAGAAAAATAAACAGTAAAGCATATCAAATCAATACGCTAAAAAAAGTCTTCATTATTAATTATGTATATAGACATATTCTCTTGGCTAATTTTTATTTAGTATTATATCGATGAATTTTCAAAAAAAATTATCTTATGTATGATAATCCTAATGACATTCTTTATTAAATATATTAATAAATGTTTATCAAACTTATTTGATATTTGATCGTTTGATATAAGATATATTTTTTTTATCTTTAGGCGAAACCAAACTCTCTAATATGTAAAATGATACAAAAATAAAATTCTCGTTTTCTCAAGTATTTCTTGACTAAAACTAAATTGATATCCGTTTGTTTTTTGTGGTTGATTTTTTCTGATATATAATAACAACAAAATAAAATTTCGAAAAAAGTTTTTCATATAAACACACTTTGCTTATGTCATCTACAAATGCAAAAGAAAGAAGAAGAAAAATTTGCAACGATCTTCGAAAGAAAAAGAAAAAGAACTGAAAGAACAAAAGATAAGACAAAAAAATAGCTTGTTACATTTAGAAGAGAAAAAAATTGATGTATTATTTTCTTTGTTTGTTTGTTTGCTTTTTTTTCGATTATTTGTGAATATTAAAAAGAAGAAATAAAAATAATAATTTAGTCGATCACTGTTGCACAGCTACATACATACATAGAATCTATATTGTTGCATCATACCATAGATAAGACAGACAACATGTCATTGCATATAAATAAAAATACACTCAAAAAAGAAAACATACACACACACACGCACACATAGAAATACAAAAATGATCGACTGCCAGTAAGAAAAGAAAGAAAGAAAAAATACACATACAGTAAACTGGTGTGCAGCAATGCGTAGCTACGAACCGGAAGATTGCATAGAAGAAAAACGACAAAATACTGTTATTGTTGTTATTTAAGTATGTATGCGTAAAGATATTTCTTGTTGTTTGTTATTAATACGTTCTTTTTTTGTTGTGCTTTTGTATAGATTGTTTTAGTTCAATAAATAAAAGAAGAGAAGTAAACGACAAAGAAAAGAATAAAACACAGATCAATGAGTAATTAGAATTCCACCAATTTCGGAAGCAATTCTATTCAAAAAAAAAAAAGAAAAATAAAAAGCTATCAAATTCTATTTTTTTATTTCTATACCTTGAATGAATTAAAAACTCAGCCAATTGTATTTGTTCAGGTGTACCAGAAATAGTCACATGTCTATCTTGTGTACCTTCATCTAAATCAGCTATTTTAATATTCGCTCCAGACGCTTGTCTATAAAAATTATTTACAAATAATGTTATTAAATAAAAAATTAATTCTACCTGATTTCGGAAATCTTTTGTCCACCTCGACCAATAATACAACCAATAAGATCATTAGCAATCGTTATCTCACGTTGTGTTTGTAAAGTATTACGATTAGGTGGAAGACCATTTGTCATTAAAGGTGCTGCAAGAGATAATAGTGAGGAGAAGAAAAAAACGATTAATATCTCATTTAAATTATATATCAATTGTTTCATTATATGATATTTTTTTTCCTTTTCTTCACAACATCATCAGAGTATTAGGAAAAGAATAGAACGTCATTTGGACAATATAACTCATTTATTTTCTTTGATGTTCCATATAAGAAAAGAATCAAATCAATCGACTTACCAGCTGGTACAGGCACACCCGGCGCAAGAGAAGCTAATTGACCGTAGGCATTTAACTAGAATACATTAAAAAAAACAATTTAATTCTTCTTTTTTTATATCAAACAATAATGTATATGTTACTTCATTTGGTGGTAAAGGAATTGCAAATTGACCTTGAACTTGATAAGCTTGTCCATTAGCAAAAATAATCGGTGCATGTACAGGTGATATCATCATTTTAGGTCGATATGGAATTGTTTCACCTTTTGGTGGCGACTGCTAAATAATATATACATATTAATAATATATATATATGTATAATTAATAAAATAATTTTTTATACTTCGAGCATAATTTGACATATTTGTCGGAAACATGATTCAATTGAATCAAGTTTTCCTGAAATAGTTACAGCACGTTCTGTTGATGTTGGTAACATTTCCGATGCAACTTGCACAGATGCACCTGTTGTCTATAAATAAATATGAAATCAAATAATTAATCGTTTATGTAACAATAAGAATACATACTTCTCGGATTTCTTTAATTTTTGCACCACCTTTACCAATAATTGAACCACATTGACTTGCTGGTACAACAAGACGTAATGTTATTGGAGGGATAGTTGTACATGTTTGTTTTAAATCCTATAAGATAAATAATTAATAAAAAGAAGAAAATCTTTAGATTATTATTTATACATCTTCAAATTTTTGACAAATCATTCCAAATGCTTTCGATAATGTTTCAATTGTACCAACCATAGTAACAATACGTTCTGGTGTTGTTCCATCACTAATATTAATACGAGCACCACTCTAAATATATTATTTCAATTAGCTCAATATTTTTTGTAACAAAAATAAATACATACTTCTTCTCGAATTGCTTTGATATTATCACCACGTTTTCCAATAATACTACCGACTTCCTAAAATAAATAATGAAGAAGAAGAAGAAGAAGAAGATAATAAATTTTCGTATTAAAATAATAACTTACTTTTCCTTGCATAAGTAATCGAATAGTAAGAAAATGATCAGGTTCACCTGGTAATTTTGTACTAGATTGTTGATGAATATTAGTCATATTTTGTGAATTTGTTGTATTTATTTGAACAATTGGATGATGTGTTGTATTATCCATCATCATAATTTATAGCTAACTGATTGAATTGTATCGATTGTAATAGGGACAAATATCGTAGGTGAAAAACAAGGGCAGGTAGGTCGTGAAAATGTGTAAAGACGAAGGGAGAAGGGTACCTGAAAAAGAAAAAGAACATTGATCAGTAAATTTATGCACTGTCCTTTTCGATAATAATGTTTTGTCTTCAATCGATTTCTTTTGAGTACAGATTTTGTAGCAATGAAGAGTCTTGATTTTCTTTTTTTTTATGTCGAGTACCCTTCTCTCTTTTCCGGATGTACTGGCGTCAGAGAAAAATTCAACCGAACCATTGGCATCCATCACCAGCCGTCCCGTTTGCCTTTTCTAGTAATTGCTCTCGTTCTCTCCCTGTCTCTCTCTCTCTCTCTTTCTTTCAATAGCGTTATATTTTTATTGAAAAACTCAAGAGAGACAGAAAGAGCCATCAATATTTTACTGCCGGTACCCGTTGTTAGATGTCTGTTTCTCCCTCTTTGTTGCATTAATAATTCATTACGACATGATCGGTGAACGATTAATTCTCTTGCTACGCGGAAAAGCGATTTCTCTTTTTTTCCATTTTCCTTTTGCTTTGCATGTCTATCTTATAGCCATCATAAGATTCTATTATCATTCTTCCAAGAATTCTCGGTCATCTTGACAGTTCTATTTATCCAACAAACGAATATCTATTATAGAAAGCAAGATAGAGAATGGAAAAAGAAAGAAGAGGAAATCTGTCATAAATTATCTTTATTTCGCTCATTCTCAGTTATTTTCTCTTGAAGAGATGTACTCTTCTATTCATATAACAAATGTTTAGTTGTCGACAATAATAAACAGATAATACAGGAAAATAATCGTGTCATAGAATATATCAAGTGACCAAATTTCAATACTATTTATCAGAGTAAAATGATAGACAGAAGGAAGGAATATTTGTCAATAATCAATATATATAACTTAAGTAGTTGGTAAATATAATTTCTACAGACAATGACGTAAAATACTTCTTATTCTATAAGTTGTTGTGTGTTTAACATCAACAAACATTTAAAAAATATTTCTTAACTATTTTTTCTTCTTCTTCTTCTAATGACGAAGAAAACTAATTCCTCAAGACGATTATTATTTATGTATTCTTCAAGGTTAGAATTTACTCTACTCTCTCGAAACATGTACATTATTTCTAATTGACAATAACATGCACTAGAGTAAATTTAGCTGTTCGAGCCATATGTTCTTAGTTGAAAAGAAAAGCATATACACACAGTAATATTACTTTCTAATATAAAAATAATAAAATGTCATTTGTTATTTACGAAATGGTCATCTATTTGTCAGATTTTGTTTTTATTTTCTTAAAAGAAAAGAAATAGGATCTCAAAATAGAAAACAAGTATGTCGTGTTTAGAGGAAATGTTTATAACTCGGGAAAAAAGAAGAAGATGTTTAGTGACCTCAATTAGTCGATTGCGTGACCAAAAAACATGTGTATCGTTCAAAGTATGCATGTGCGTGTTGCCAATTAGAATATAACGAGCTCGCCATAGGTACACGAAAAGAAAAATCCTACATGACTATGTTTCTATAAAAAGAAGTCGATGAAAAACACATTGGCATTGACATAAACTATAAATTATTTCAAATCATTTCAACTCATCTAAGAATTGTAGAAAGAATATAATTTTCTTTGATTGATGAAAAAACAAGTATTTGTAAATGTCAAATGCAATCTGTTTTCTTATACTTACTTCGTTAATTTCCTTCGATGGATTTTTAATAGTAGCACGAGGTTCTAAAAAAATCTTTTTCTTTCTCTATCTTATTTTTCTTCTTTTTTTTTTTACTTATATATCCGTCACTTTTTCTTCTACTCTAAATGTGTCGTGCATTTGACACACATACGATACTATGAACGCTAAAAAAAACTCTCAACGGATACTAATCTCTCTTCTTTTCTTTCTTCGTTCTCTCTTTTTTTTCTCTCTTTGTCTGATGATCAAAGAAGAGACGTTCGGAATTGCGGATGAGCAGTATAGTAGCTTGCTATTACATACACTAGTCAATGAATGATAAGAAAGAAGAGAATCATCATCCTTCTCGTAACTACTGTGACATCAACATTAGAACACTAAAATCAACGAAGTTCATAGAATCTAATGAGATTATGTACGACGACAAGAAGATGAATGCTCATTCTCAAAAGTATAATAAGAGACTTAGACTATCTAACATACAGTTCCGTCTGAATGTATACTACACTAGTATTAGCACACCCCGTACATGAACGCCTACGCATCTAGACGGGAAGCAATTTTAGAGCAAACACTTTTTTTTTAAAATGCAGTTTCCTGTATTACTTAGAACGGGATGAGAGGGATGATCACACACCCACGCATTTCACTAACATGCTTCGATTATAATTGGATTGAGAGCATCGTTTATTTCTTTTATTTATGATGTAATATAAATATAGATAGTTCATTACCTGTACAAGATTAATGTATATATATATATATATATATATATATATAAGAATGGAAAATGTTAGTTGAAGTCAAAATCTGAAAGAAAATGAGACTACTAGATTATTATTGAATCTGAAAAAAAGGAGGAAAGCAGCTGAAGAAGGAAAAAGAGGAAAAGAGGCAGGCGGAGAGCGAAACGGTCCAGACCGTTAATCAACATCTCATCTCTTTCTTCTTCGTCTTTTTCTTTGTCGTCCTCTTCAGTCTCATCTTGTGTTAATACTACTACTATACTACTACTAGAGATGCTTTCTCCATTGTCAGAACAATTTTCATCTCAACATGCATGCATGCGCTGTTGTTCGCACAAGCAAAAGAAATCATATTGATACGATCATTATTGATGAACATAAGAAAAGGCGAGAAGCGCGTTTTTTTTTTATAGTAAAACTAATTGATGTATATATATATGCATGTTAAAATTTAAATTTAAATCTCGAATGTATAATTCGATTCCCTAAGATATTTTATGTGCAGATTTATTTCTATACTCATGTTTTATCATATATATCTAATAGAATCTCATAACTATTAATGATGTTTACAACTTACATCGTTAACTCTTCCTTCATACATACATACATATTTATAAAGAATGAGTAGAAATAAGAGGATGCAATTCTCAATGGAACACTTAACTATGAACATTCAAAGAGAAAGATGATGATGATAGTTTTAAGAAAAAGAAAAACTGTCAAATTTACTTATTGTTATTGTCACAATAAAGTATAGAAGACATGATAATAAAAAAAATTGTATCTTGTCTATACAATAAATGATGAATAGGACATGAAAATTGATTCTATAGCTGCCTATTTGACTGTGAAGTATAGTTAGAATGATAAGTTTTTGTGTGCAAATGCACACAATCGTCAATTATCTCAGTATTTCATATATGGCTGATGACGCCGATCAAATTAGCACATGCTGCCGAAGGGCGGGCGGTTAGAAGCAAACAAGTAAGTAAGAGACTTTAACATTTCTACCTAGGAGAAGAGACATTTAATGAATGTATGGATGAATTGCTCCAACTGGCATATTTTGTTGTCTTAACATATATTTATGTAGAGAATGCAGATATATCGCCATCGATCCGTCTCTTCTTTCCTAACTTACGGTCTTAATATGATACTCGACACATCTATTTAGAAAATGACTATCATATGCATCGGAATTATTCATTTATATATACTCACATATAATGAATGAAAATGAGAAGACAATGATCGACACTAAATCACAACAGAATTGTGATTTTTAGAAATATTTACTAATAGAAAACAATAAATAGTTTTTTTTCTCTTTATCTCGCTTCTATTTTTTTTTTCTGTTTTTCTTTTCTCGTGACTCTGTTTAGTATAAGCAACGTGGATGAGTATTAGTATTGTTTGTTATTGTCGTCATCGTTGCTGTCGTAAAGCAAAAGAGAAAAGTCATTGGCACTAATGTCTATTCAATAGCGTAGGCAATGTGCGCAAATGTAATAGCAGAAAGAATAAGAGAAAATAGATTCGACGTTGCTGCTGCTAATATGTTGTAGCTCGATAGTAATGAAGAATTTTTTTTTTCTGTGACGTTCGCGTTTACATACTGTTACTGAAACGATCATCCGACTGTCGAAAGAGAAAAACGTTCGTCTAACAAAAGAAGAAATTAGTCTAACGCAGGTTTTTCGTGATGTCTTCTTTCTTTTTCTTTTTCCTGCAAGCTTTTTTCTCGTGTTGTTATTTCATTCTGCCACGAGAGAACTGACAGATCATCTGGATATATATGTATATGTATATATATATATATATGTATGTCTGTATGTTTGCTCGAAGGGTTTTTTGTTGGGTGGTTAGATGGATAGAACGACAATTTGACAGGAGGAGACCCTCGTTGATACTCATTTTCTTTTCTCTCTCTCTCTCTTTTTTCCATCTATCTATCTACCCATCAATCTATTTCTCGCTTACAATATTGAAATGATGAAGTAACTAAATAAATGTATTTTATTATTGAGAGGCTCATAAAGAGAGTACACTTATATTTAAAACACTCAATAGAGAAGACTTGTTTCCTAATAGAAAATATTTTATCTCATATGTGCTTATCCAAACACCCACATACACTTAAAAAATATGATGAGAAAAAAACATCATATAACACAGAAATGAAGCATATAGAAAAAGAACCGCACTAATCATTTATGACTATCAACTTATAAAGATATTCAACTAAGAAAATACTGAGAATCTCTCTTGAGGTCTTTGATTTATTCGAATACATTGAGAGTTACGGTTGTTTAAATTCTCTTGAAACATTATGATATATACTTAATGGATTGAGTCAATCGAGGGTGGCGATTCTCAAGTGTATGTATGTATGTTGTGTCATTTATCATCATAGGATGACAGCGATTAGAAGCAACAAGCTAAAGAACAGACGATATTTCATTGATCACTAGTAATTACCACAACAAACCGATTTGACCTTGTGGTTTTATGGTACTAAAAATGATATTAACATTAGAGAGAAGAAAAATGAAACATAATTATCGAGTATATCGAATGGTCTTTCTCACATTCTTTTCAAGCTCGAACATATGACAATGTCACTCAATCAAAATGAATTATCTAATTGGTGTGATGACGATTTATATTATTGTATGTATACTAAAAACTAGAGACAAGATTGTGTTGTCAAATGCATTAACCATTAGCATAAACAGAACATGAAAATTTTTTTCGGCACGTTATTATATATACAAATATAAATGGATAAGATCATTTTATATTTTTGTCATTAATATATATCTACACAAAATAACAAAAAAACATAGAGAATACTCGTATCGTTTTTTATTTATAAAAAGCAAAGTCAATCTTTAAATATTATATTATATGTAACAGAATAAATATCTTTTTTTTTCTTCTTAAAAATATTGAATAAAAGTAGATCATATGTAATCCTCTCTAGCTATCTGTTATTAACAGGATTTGACATAAAAAAACAAAGGTAAAAGTATCTTATGGTTATATTTAAAAATATTTCTTTCATTACTTAAACTAAGTTATTAAAATAGATTTATGAATAATTAAACTAAAACAGAGTTCTCTGATCTATATAGAATATTTACAAAATGAAAAATATATGAATTATTTATGCGTTATAATACTTACTTATTAACAATGTTGTTATGTTCAATTGAAATAGAAAGAAAAATATTGTAATGCAGGTGAATAATATTTGTTGTATTACAATTTCTTGAACTTCATGTGAAGTGTCGTTCTTCTTTCTACTTCTAATGATATTGTGATGTCACTATGACCATACATGATGAGAGCTGTTACCATCTGTGTTATTACTGTATATCAATTATTAGGCACACCGACTGTGCGACAAAAAAGTTCTAAGGTGTATCATATATATATATGTATGAAATCAATTAGCTTTCCAGATGTCTCTTATCATCTTACTGTAAGACATGAAAATAGGTCTATAAATCTCATAGATCTTTATCGATTATAGTTGAAATATACATATCTTGACATATATAAAAAAAAGAAGAAGAAATGTTTACTAAAAATGAAGAGAGTAATGTCGTTAGAGATGACTTTTCTTTGTCTTTCCTGTTTAGTTAACTGGTGGAGAAGGTCAAAGCGATCATTATCAATATCTTGTTGACATTATTATCATCATCATTTCCAATAAATGTATAGATAAAGATATATATATATATATTGTGAAATAGAGCCGACATAAACACCCGCTGTTCGAATATCAATAATCAAAGAATGACATTATGATAAATAATATCTTTCATTTCTAAAACAAACATTTTACATTTGCTAAAGTTTTAAACCTATAACATTAGATCTTCTAATACTAATTGATATATTTTATCAAAATTCTTGAAATTCTTTTTCAAATAAACATATAGATGATTTTGGTATAATAAAATCTTTTTTTTCTTCAAAATATTCATATTCATAACCTTTTATTATCCGTGGTTTATATTCAGACTGTACTTTTTTTTCATACAATGATAACCAATTTATTCGCTGAAAATATATATGATTTTTTATATCTTGTGCACCGTTTGCTAAACAACCAAATCGTTTTGTTGTATCATTTTGAAGTAATTGACGAATTAATGATTTAAGATCTTCTTTAAAATGTTTCGGAAATTTATATTCTATATAAATAAATTAAATAAGAAAACTGAAATTTTCTTTTTTTACCACAACGTAAAATTAATGAATAAAGTGCTGAATGATCTGTTGCGTAGAATGGCGAAAAGCCAGCATTTAATTCATAGAGAAATATACCTAAACACCACCAATCAACACCTTTACCTAAATTATTTTTTTCAAAAAAGATGATATTTATATCGAAAGTAAATTCTACCATAGCCTTTGTTAGATAGAATTTCTGGTGCTAAATATTGTGCTGTACCACAAAGTGTATATGTCCGTCCGGGAACAAGTTTTGCAAAACCGAAGTCAGTCAATTTTATAAAACCATCATAAGTAATCAAACAATTTTCTGAATAAAGAAAATAAATCTAATGAAATTCTTGTATTATCAGATAATATTGACCTGGTTTTAAATCTCTATGACTACGAAAAAAATGAGACAATATATATGAATTATAATATTCTTAACTGATTTTATATGTACCATATATCAAGATATTGTAAATATTCAAAAGCAAGTGTGATTTGAGCAGCATAGAAACAAGCAAGAGTTTCGGAAAACCGTTTATTCTTTTGTTTTCGCATATGATGAAACATCTGAAAGAAAAGGAGACCATTTGTAAAATATTGATGAGTCTAATCAACATCGATTTAAGTTGACATATGAATTAAGAGAGAAATAAACAAATCATGGATTCTCTGTAATCTTTATTAAATTTATTCGAGTATATCAAGCAAATAACCTTCAAATTAAATCCGAAAATTTTGAAGTTGAGAAGCTTTTGACAGATATAAATATCAAACATAATTTGATTATTGTAAGGTCATCATTAACATCAATTTAGAAATACATTGCGTATGTTATTCATCAAGTTAAATAAATGCAATAGAAACTCTCAGATTTTGACAGATAAAAATTTATTGCAAATGTCCCGAATGTTTTTTAAATTTGATTAAACAAATTTATATTCTTGCCAAAAACTCACAAATATCTTTTGAAAAGGCACATGTGTACTACGACTTGTGAATGACGATTATCTATTGATCAGAGAGGGACTAGACCGGATATTACTTGTTCACACGTAGTTCTTTCTATACTACCAAGAGTAAGAAAAATCAGATAGATCTTTTCAAAGAATGTAGAGTAATTGAATCGAATAAGAACACTCTGTACTTGTACTATTTTAAGCTTTATCTATAGACTATATATCAATCCATTCGGTACAAATTTCCGTGAAAAAGATCAACAGACAGTTCAGCTCAATCTATATTAGTCTTTTAGTGGATTATATTGGTCACTTATTGTAATGCCGAATACATTAAAGTTTTTCTATTATTCTTTTTTTTCCATATATTGAAAAAGATTTTCTAGTAGAATGATCTTTCATAAGTGAATAGGAAACAAGATTATTCTACTTGATATAACAAGGTTTTTTTCATATTTAACTATAAATGTGGAAAATATTTTGATATTCATAAAAAAAAACGGAATTAATTATTTTGCTTCATTATCTATCTTTTAGAAAAAAAGCATTTGCTCTATAGATGATAAAATATAAATAAATAAAAACCTCTCCACCACCAATAAATTCCAAGCATAGATATAAATTAGCATTATCTTTAAATTTAAATAATAAATCAACAATAAATGGACAATGTATTGCTCTTAATAGGTGACATTCATTAATAACATGTCTTATTTGTTTTAATTTAACAATATGTTGTTTTTCAAGAATTTTCATAGCTATTTGTTTCTTTTTATGAATAGCAAATGCAACTGTACCAAAACTACCTCCACCAATACGTCGTTGTATAATAAAATCATTTAATATAGCATTATCAATTTGTTTAGAATTATATTTTTCAATAAAATGATTTTTTTCAATTAAAAACTGATTTTTTAATAACACATTCGATGTTGTTATTATAGGTGAATCATAGGTTATAATTGATTTTAGACTTGTTTGACTATATGGTGTTATTAAACCAGATGAATTCGATGGAGATTTTAAATAAGATGATGGGGTTTTACGTGAAGATTCAACTTTAATTAAAATTGAATAATCAAAAATATTTATTTTTACTCGATATAAAACTAACCAGGCATGAGTGAATCTATCATACGTTCAAAAAACATTGCTCTAAATGATAATACAAGTCTAATACAACAACAAAAAAGAAATCAGCGCGTTTTTCTTCTAAGAGAAAACAACTTGAAATCTACTAGAATATTATTTTGTTTGTTCACTAAGAACGTGTCAAAACAACTTAGCTTTTTTTCTTCTTCTTTCTAATATTATTGATTTCATCAATGTAATATCTGTTAATAAGTCAATGCTTAACATGAAATTAAGCATATCTGCTTATCTTGATTAGTCAATTGAATTATCATCGAATAGTTTTTTTTTTATGGAGAAGAAAATGTCAGTTCAGATCGAATAAGATTTGACTAAAAGGCTAATCATGTTTCCGACAGTTTATGTATAAGATAGTTACTAAACTATCCCTCCTTTCTTTTTTTGCTTTACGATAAAATCTTTTTTACTCTATACACATATGGAGATGCTTGAATCGCAGCCGAACAAAATTAGATGCGATGACAAATGAGAAAATGTTAGCGAAAAAAAATGGACGAAGAAGAAAATATTCTGACTGATCTTAATGAAAAAAAACGGAAGAGAAATGAAGAGGGAAGAGAGAGAGAGAGAGAGGAGAAAAAGACAAGACCAAGTTGAGAGCAAATCAAACCATATGTATTGACAAGTGATCTTACATTCATTAATGCGGTCATTTATTATTCTTATTTGAAACCAACACTCGTATATTCATGAAAAAATATTTCATAAATTTTATTATTTTAGATTACCTAAAGAAATGAAGATGCTTTTCAATCTATCAATATTTATCAGTTTAGTAATGGTGCTTATGTTTCAGATTGCACATATAGGTAATTGTTTTTTTCTTTCAAAAAAAATGTTATGTCTTATATGTAAATTAGATGCAGCTGCATTTAATAATGAAAAATTACCTATGATTGAAAGTAGTTCAAGTGATGAAAATGATGCATCATTACGAAATAAAAAAGAAGTTGGTACAATATCAGTACAACATATTATTCCAGCACCTCATCGACGTCATCATTTGAAATTTGGTGTCCTTGGAAAACGTCATGCTTATGGCTATTTGGGTAAACGAGCTGAAAGTATGATAAAATAAATTTTGTATAGAGATTAGATCTGTACTATTTGATTTCTGTATTCTAGCACAAGAACTCTACAATGATTTTGATGATTGGTTAAATGATGGTAGAGAACGACGTGGTAATCGACCACAATATGGTTTATTAGGTTAAACAATTTTGTACCTTGTCAACATTATACACATATTTTAAAAATAAACAATTTTCCTTTCATTATATTCTAACTTTTTGTCCTTATCAATCAATGTAAGAATCGATTTATTTTGGATTGATAAAAAAAAAAGAAAAATTATGGTATATGGATCATCGTAAAAATCCATATAGTTTTCTTGTTTTTGTTTTTTCTTGCAATGAATACTATAATAGTTATTGAGTTTACAAAGATTTAACAGTAAATAATCAGAATTATTTATTGTTAGTATATTTATTTTGGGACTAGTTTGATGAAAAACATGAATGCATAAGATTATTAAAAATTCATTTATTTTTACGGAAATGAAAAACAAATTTATTTGCACAGATGTTTCATATCTAAATCAATGTTGATTGAATATTTAATATGAGAGAAATTCTTCCAAGACAAAAGTCCGATTGATTTTGTTTCTGACTCAAAGTAAAGAGAAATAATTGTAAATCAATGCAAAATTCTTATTTTGATGGGATAAAACGTTTACAACATATCTAGTCGTTAAATACAATCATAAATTATGAAGACGGATTTTCAGCTTGTCTTTGAGATATCAGAAGAAAAATGGAGTGATCATTGCAAGAGAAATATGAAGAATCATAACGAACAATATGGTGAAGTCCATATGAATACATATGTGAAAGATTTATTATAAGGACTTACATGTATAATTTAACAAGGGTTTTATGTACGCGCAGTAGAATGGTGATTAATAAAAAGTTAGATCTTCGAAAACAGATCTCGACCAGGGAAAAAACACTAAAATCTCTAAGATGGATTTGTTGAAATCTCACAAAAATAATCAGATATTTAAATTCTTTAAAGATTACTTCCGTTATTTAATTAATATAAAATTATATGTATAAGTAACATTTTATATCGTTATATACCTGAATAAACAAGAATAGAAATTATTTCTAGTTTAATATTAAAATATTATTTTCCTCGTCAATAGTAGACATAAGTTTATCAATGTTCCTTGAATATTCAATAACTAGATTTATATTTCTTGTTTTACTGATTGCACGTCTACAATTTTTACTCATTTTTGAACTATGTCTGACTTAGTACGTTACAATTATTTACAATAATAATCAAAATTATATATATAAAATGTATAGTTTGAATTATTTTTATTTGATAAAAAAATATGAATAAAAAGGTTAAATAATTGAGACTTAAAGTTAATTTCGATTTTTTGTAATTATTTATAATGAAATATTTAATTTTTTCCATTTGGTTTCGTTACAGGATTTGCAGAAGTATAAGATGGGGGTCGATCCATATCAGTTTGTGGTCTATTCCATGATTGTGGTGGTTGTTGTTTTTGTTGATAAGGTGGGTATTGTTGGTATGGTGGATACTGTTGATTAGGTGGATACTGTTGATAATAACCCGTATTCATTTGTTGACCATAGGCACCATTTTGTGCTGGATTATATGGATTATATTGATTTGCTTGAGGATATACTTGTGGTGATTTATTTTTTTTACAACACATCGTGTAAAAGCTAAAGAGAAGTCCAATAACAGTAGCAAGTGCTAATACTCCTCCAACAGCAATACCAACAATATCAGAAGTACCCAAAGATGAACTTCCATCGCTTGATGACATTTCGAAATGATACTAGTCAATAATAAATAACTATTGAAATAAATTGTCAGAATTTTTTCTTCCTTTTGACTGATGGCAGAACAAGCACGTTTTGAATTCAATATTTTTCCTTGTATTACAACAGTCAAAAAAAGTTTTACTTCTGTAATAAAAATTTTTTTGTATAGAAACGAAAAAATAACGGTATTAAAAAAATTTGCTGCTTTGTATTCAACGAAAAAAACATAAAATTGGAAGCACAACACACAAAAAACAATCAAGTTTTAGGTATAATGAAACCTCTGAAAGTTATTTGACAGAAAATTGAACACAATGTAATTTTATTTTGAAATAATTAGATATGATGAAAAAACATAATTAGAATTCAAATAAAAACATGTCACAAGTTTTATTTTCAACTAGAGAATTATGTCATAATGAAGAAGTTTGCTTCAGTTTTTCTCATGAATTTAATATGCTACATTTTTAATTGATTATTAATCATGCTGTTTTTTAGATTGTTTTATTATTATTCATCGGATGAATAAAAAATTCCAATTATCCTCTAATACATATTTTTTATTAATAAAATAAAGAATGACTACAAAGTTTGAAATGATATGTTCTCGATTTCAGTAGAATGTACATGCTTTTTCTTTGAATCAACAGATTTTACGTTATTAAACTATTAATAATAAGAAAAATCGTAGTTTATCTAAAAAGTATATTTGATTTAATCATTATTTCTTAATACGACAGGTATATGATCTGTTTGGTTTGTTATTGTTGAGTGATTGAAAAATGAAGTCGAAGATACGTTTGAAATATAATCCCTATCACATTATTTAAATCTACCATGAAAGCAAAACATTTATCTATTTTAATTGGAATTTATTAGATTAACATAGACAATATCTTTCGCTGTCTCATTGATGAATTTAAATAAATCTTACACATTCTACAGGATGTTTTAAGTTGCCTATACACTTGCAAATACTATAGGAATCTGTGAACATAATAGTTTACTTTTTAAATTCAATAAAAAGAAATATTTGTCGCTATTATCGAAAGAAAAAAGTCTGAAGAGCAAACATTTGTTGATTCAATTAAAAGAGAACAATGAGTGGATGGTGAAACATAACTAAAAACAAAACAAAACGAAAACTTTGAACAACTATTAAATAAAATAAATCATAAGCTCTATATGTTTATCTCGTAATAGCAATATATCTATTTTCATATAAAAGTATATTTAAATCCTATTTAATTGAATGCTCAATATCATTTATTTCCTCATATGCCGGTGGTAATTCTTCAGTAATATTTGGTGATTTTAATTGTGGTTGTTCCATAGATGTTTGTGAATAATGTGTATATGGAAACGTCGACATCGGTTGTTCATATGTTTGTGATGTAGGATAAGGTTGATTCCAAATTTGTGTTGGAGGCTTTCGTTTGCAAAAGAGTATATAAATAATTATAACAATGCATATTAAAGAAGCAACTCCCACTAAAGATCCAAATGCAATACCGATAATTCTGGCAATACCTTTAGCACAATAAGCGGAAGTATTCGTATTAGAAGAATATATTGAAGAAATAGGACACATGAATAACACGATGAATCTATAACTAACAGATGACAGAATAAAAAATCAATTCAAAGAATATATTTGATTAGAATTGATGAAAATGACGCATATATATATGCATAAAGGTTTATAATTCAAATTTGCTTTACTGAAACCTAAAGTTTATAATTAAATAACAAACGAGTCAAAGGAATAGAAAAACAAAATTATGCAGACAGAAAAAATCACTTATAACAGTAGCAATGAAACTATAGATACTGACTGAAAATATGAATAACCTTTGTACTTGTATAACAAATTTAAAGAGCACTAATAATGATATATGCATAACACATATTAGATTCTTTTGTTCAATCATGAAAGAATATAGCGTAACTCATCTTATTTTGAGTTGAAGGAATAATATTTACAGAATAAGATAAGTTCATCGGAATAAAATGAGAAAATACTATTTTTTTAAAACTCTATGAATCAACAATATTTATTTCATAAACAATCTTTATTACAATTTGTATCGAAAAACAAAAAATATTTCAGTGTAGATATCGACATCAATTAGTTTAAGTAAATATTATTATAAGCAATAGTTCATATCATTTGAATGATTGTCATTGCCAATCAGTTTTATGTACAGACTAAAACATAAAATGTAAGTAAGTAACAAAATTAACTGACAGAAATTGTATAATGTGTATAAGAAGAATTTATCGATGATTTGTAATTTTTTATTTCTGTTGAATGATAATTAATATCTTTTTGTTTCTATATCAGAAGCTAATGATAGATCAGAAGATTTCAGTGAGTTTGGTATAGATTGTTGTTCATCGAGATTAATACTCATTGATTGATTTTGATTAAGTAACGTTGGATGTAATCGAGATCGAGTATGGAATCTATTGCGAAAATATCCTTTACAACATAGCATGTATGTAATGATAACAAGAAATATGATAAAGATTAGACATGCTATCGAAGCAATTATAAAACCTGATATAGTATTAGTTTCTATTGTTTTTCCAGTCGACAATGTTTTACATTTGGTACCATTGTAATCACAGGATAATGGCATGTTGCGTTTGAAAAATGTAAAATGATAGAGAAAGATAAAAACAACAATGTTTTTCTTTCAAATAATGACATCATTATAATTCAGTTAAATAAATTTACTTTATTACAACAAATACATTATGTGTATTCTAGAACTAAATTAAAAATAAAATAAAATAAAATGTAACTATCAAATAGATTGTGAAATCATAATAGTAGTTATTCATTAGAAATAGTGCTCTATAACTTTACTTTAAGCTAATTAAAATCTTGATTAAAGAAAATAACAGAAAAGTTGTGTAACTAACTGTGTTTCTTACTAGTCGTGATTGTCTTTTGAAATAGTTTTTGTTTTTTCAAATAAAATTCATATTTACACGACAACGATTTATTCATAAAAACTTTTAGTGCATATAGAAAAAATACTTCGAGCATTCGAAAAATACTAGCAATGGCACTTTCATACTATACTAGCAAACAGTGTATGTGTGCTTCAAACGGAAGAAAAAATACAGTTACAAATTAATTCAAAAATAAAATTTCAATGAGCAAAAGCTTTTTAATAAAAAATACAACAGCCAAATCTCCAAATGAAATGAGCAATTCTCAATTGTCTCTCCGCTGGCTGCATCGCTGTCTGTCACGTCTATGAGAGAAGGGGACAAAATTTCTATCCCTAATACTTCAACATTCATTTTCAATTCGTATTTCACATAATAATGCATCATCTTCTTTCTCACCACACAAAGAAAATTGTGCAGTATCACTATATAGTATTAAAATATTCCAGACCAACATTTAGTTCTTCTAAAATTCATATTCTTCAATTTTTTCATGGAGAAATTTAGAAATTAGATAGTTCATTTATATAAGATTCAAATAAGTTCGACAAATACATGGATATTTCTTAATCGTGATTTAATTTATACACTATAAAGTATGAACCTTTGCTTATTCCAGAGAACATTTGATTTTCGTAGAAACAGCAAGAAGAAAGCTTACTATTTTCACATTTCTCCTCTGTTTATAATAGGAAAAGAAAAGAAAGAAATTGATTAAGATAAATATTTTTATCTAATTATGTTACTATTACTGAAAACATAGAATTTATCAAAATATTTTCATATACATCGATTGGAACTGAAATTTTATACAAGAAATGATCAGTTCTATAGATTTTTATCCAGAAAAATAAGGTAACAATAATAAGTTTATCTAAAATGACGTTTTATATGATTATTCGATTTATTAGGTAACAAATAAACATAAGATTTTCGATAAAATTAAATTTATATAAACGTTAAACTTTTTGTTGTGGTTGGCTACTATAGTTATTTGGTTGGTTGTTGTAAACAGGTGGCTGATTATTGTAACCACCTGGCTGATTATTGAAATTACCTGGCTGAAGAATTTGTCCTGGAGTTGTCTTTGGCTTCTTGCATAAACAATAGAGGACGATACAACCGGCAATTAGAAGAGCAAGTCCAACAACACATGGAATAACGATGGCTATAATAATACCGACACTTAAAGCAGTTTCAGTAGATTGGTAGTTGTATGTTACCATTTTATATTCACAATCGATAAATAGAGAATGAGGAGAATAATATTTGCTATATAACAATCAGATTGAATATAAAAGACAGAGAAATCAAAGTGTTGCTGTTAAATGATTCTTGCGTCTAAATCTCGTTCATTTTTATAGTCAAATTACTGATGACGTCAGTAGAAAGAAGAAGAATTCGATATGATTTTCACATAGAATTTTTTTTTCGTTATTATATTGACGTGAGTGAATGTTTGCATTTTGATTAAGGAACTCTTTGACATTTCATAATAAAATCATGCTTTATGTACCTAATATATTTTATATAAACGAAATGTTGCTTGGAGAAGAAGCAGAATGAAAAATTCATAAGCATTTTTTTATACTTTTACGATTGATTTGGTTTCTATTTTAAACATATGCGCAGACACAAATACATTTATGTGAATCGCTATCGTTTCTATACTAATGTTGAAGAATGAAAAAGACCTTCAAGAACAGTTTTTTTTAAAGGAAGTAAATGGCATTTCGAATCTGTAAGTACTGCTCACTGCCTTTAGCTTTTCAAAGAAATTCCAAGTGATGAAATTCTTGAATTACCAAACATATAGACAGACGTTTTTTTTATATATTTGTGCGTCATGGACAATTCAGGTTTCTAATCAATTTTTAACAAATTCTGTTTGTTTTTTATTCGTAACCTAAACTTGGTTATGAAAAGATGATGTTTATTGTTATTTATTAAACTTCATAAGTTTTGATAATCTGAAAACACAAAGAAAAAAAAACTACCTATCACAGGTTTCTATCGTAAGAGAGAAAAAACGAAATGATCTATTTTGATTTATAACTTTTATAAAGAAATAATTGAATATCCAATTCTCTTTTCAGATCATCATTTTGATAATAAAATCTTTTCATCAATATCAATATTTTTGATTGTTGTACCAAAACTATTTTTTGTTAAACATTCATATCTGCCTGAATTATATCTGAAATCAAAATCACGAATAACCATAACAGATGTATGACCATTCATTAATATTTCATAATAAATTTTTGATGTTGGTATTTCACCATTGATTCTCCATTGATGATATTTATTTGAACTATCTACAAACAAATAATAAAACATTTTTTTTGATTTGATTTCTTTTGCAATGAAATTTACCTGTAGTACATAAAAGTCTAAGTTCATAATTATAAAATAAACGTGATGAATCAATTGTTAAATTCATTTTTGGTTTTCTATCATCGTTTTCAAAAATATTTCTATATGTATTAAATGTTAATGTACGTAAAATTTCATTCGATTGCCGTGATTGAATACGACATATATATTGATTATGATGTTCAACTTGAAATGGACGAAATTCTAAACGTGGTCCACGAATGTAAAAATGGTTTGAACGTACTGGAATATTTGACCAAATAACTTTTCCTTGTGAAATATCTAATAATAACAAAATATAAGATTTTATTTTCTAACAAATATCAATAATTACCTTGTCCAATACGACAAATTAACGTAATATTATCTCCAATATATTTTCCTTGAATCATTTCAATAAATGAATCATTTGTTTGAATGTAATTTGTTATTGAATCAAATAAAATTTCCGATAATGATAGAATTTTTTGTGTAAAATTATTTACACAATAGTAAAGATTAAAATGTTCAGTAGAAAATTTCGGAATATTAAGATAAGAATTATTAATTATAATTCCATTGATTTGTTTGTTGATTCTCCATTCGCCAAGTGTTCCATCAGATGATGAACAATTAATAAGAATATTTCCATTAAGTTTCATTTGATTGATTGATGAAAGAAATTCAATACGAATATTCGAAGTATCTTCTAATGGAAATACATGTGTAAGAAGATTTAATCGTGTTATATTAAAATCAATTGATGATTGTTGATTTTTATATGATGATAAACATTGATAATGCGCAATATGTCCTCGACTAAGTTTATTAATAAAAAGAAAAGGTTTGGTTATATTTTTTGTAAACTTTTTTCGATGTTTTATCCATATTTTGGAAATATCTGGATCTAAAAATTGAAGAAAATATACTTTTGTTTGTTTTTTTTCAAATAAAAGATTATACTTGAAGTAATACATTCAATAAGAAAACGACCACGAAAATGATAATCAGCTCGTGATGAATAGATTTGAAATGAAAGTAATGATTCACTAGAATTAGACGCATTATCTGTTTGAAAATCAATAGATCGTGTTAGATGTTTAGCAGAACTATTGACTGAACAGATATAATTTCCTAAATTATATCCATCGAATTTATAAATGAATAAATGACCATTATTTATCATATGTTTATTGCTTGGTAATAAATCTGATTGAAGTGATGAAGACAAGTTGTTAGATACACCGTTATTGTAACAATAAATATCAACAACTTCTTCTTGTTTGATATCATCGGAAGGAGTAATTAATTTAATATAAATTTTGAATGGTTTTACTAAAAAGATAAAATTTAAATTTAAAAATTAATTTTTGGAAAATATTTAAATACAATTTGGTATATTTTCTCGAAAATTTCTTCGTATTTTATTATTTATAACGACTGCCATTAATTGATCGTGTGAATAACGTTGAATATGAACTATTTTTCGATGTATTTTTCCATGGATATCTTTTGCATGACAAATAAATTTTTTATTAGTAGAATTTAATCCTAGATGAATTCGAAGTGGATTATTTTCTCGTCGATGATGATTTATTGATGACCACCAAATTCGTTGTGATTGTGGTAATTTACAATAAAAACGTATTTCACTATCAATAGGAAATATATCCGTAGGTTCAATATCGATTGATATTTCATGTTTAATCTGTTGAACTATTTTAAATAGATGAATTATTAATAGATATTAGATTTCGAATAAATATTACCATCGATAGTTATATTTTTCGAAGTAGATCCATATTTATTTGTAGCTGTACAAATATATATACCATTATGTGTAAATTCTAATGGCATATTCGGTGGAAAGAGCTGTGTTGTTCTTGATAGATTTAAATCACCCTTAAATATTTTAGTTTAATATTTTTCATTTGGTTAGTATGAAATCTACATACGGCATCCACTCGACGCCAAGTGATATCTACTGATGAAGTATTATCTTGATTGAGACATTCGATTGTTTGAGTTGAATGTAATGGTACTTGAAGATAAGCATTATGTAATTTTGGTGCAATTACAATAGATGGTGGAGATTTTGTTTCTTTTTTTAGCAAAATGAAAAAATGAACTGTTTACTATGATATTTATAAGGAATAGATTTATATACCAAGAAACTCAACTGTAACTATTTCTTCAGTGAAACCAACACGATTTCTTCCTCGACAAACATATTGACCAATATCCAAATCAGATATTGAATCAAACTCGAGAATACCATTTACATGTCTACTTAATAGTATTAATAATGTGCCATATTTTCTAAAATAACATTGAAGATAGAAACTATGTATAATATTCATGGTACAACATATTTTTCTGATAGGGACAATAATTATGATATCAACATTCAATATGACTGATGGATAACTAATTGAGACTAACAAAAAAAGAATCTGATTTTAAGGATGATCGACTTCATGAACGAGAAAACCATAGACTTTTGTTAAGTTTTAAAAAATTAAAATTACAAACCTAAACCAACGAATTGTTGTTCTATAAGCTTCATATGGATCAAAACATCTTATAAGTAATTTGTCTCCTTTGGATATTCGAATATGTGTCGATGGTTCAATTAATAATTTCGGTCTACGAAAAATAGCTAAATGAACCGATATAACGGTTCTATATTAATTGTAATACAAACATGAGTTAATAATATCTACTTTGAAGTAATTCTATATATATATATATGTATATATCTATATGCACTAAACTACATTTGCAGTGTTTTGTTTAATAGATCTTGTTTATAAAGTTAGCCGAAAAAAAAACAGATACAAACAACAACAGTAGTAGCAGTAGTAGTAGTAGTAGTAGCAAATGAGCCAAAGAAAAGAACACCGTTGGGCAATTAGCAAAGAAATAAAGTTTGGCAATAGGAAAAAAAAAGAGAGACACTGTGTTACAGTTACAAACACAAACAATAATAAACGACAAATGAAGAAGCTAACTGAATATGCACACCAATAAAAAGAAAGATAGATCAGCGTAGCTAGTCTAAAACATTGGATCAAATAGGAAGAACTACAAAGCGAAAAAAAAAGAGAAAATTTAATAAATTTGAGCTTGAAATAATAAAAACCTAGTTTTACGAAAATAGATACCAAATAAAATCGAAAGAAAGAAAAAAAAGACAATATTGTTGTTCTGTTGATATTGACTAGTGTGTATTAATAATTTCACACAAGTTGATAGCTACCTAAGAGCGTCTCTTCTTTTTCTTCTTACTCGACTCATCTCCACCACGAATATTGACCGGTGCATAAGCATGATGTGGTTGACCTTGACCTGGAACATCAACTTGACATTGAAAGTACATTTGTTCAGCAGGTGAATCAGCAGTTGGTGTTATTATGACTTTATCTCCTTCTTGCTATTTAAATAGAAATAAGCAGAACAAAAACACGTTAAATAATAATTTTAAATTATTTGCTATTAATAATACTTACACGTGCATAACTAGGGAGGCTTGTATCATGTGAATATTTGCCCCATGTTACCTTATATTGTTGAGTACCTTTAACATGACATGTAATAGTTGCTTGTTCACCAGCTCGAAGGTTTACTTCTGATGGTTCTACAGTTACTTCAACAAATTGACCTTGTTGTGAGTGTTCACCACCGTGTTGGGCGTGTTCACCACCATATTGACCGTGTTGTGATTGTTCACCACCATGTTGGCCGTATTGTGAATGGTCACCACCTTGTTGGCCGTATTGTGAATGGTCACCACCATGTTGACCGTGTTGTGAGCGTTCACCACCATGAGCTCCTTGAATAAAAATAGTTCTAATTTAATAATTCAGTAAAAATCGTTTTATTTACCATCAAATCGAAGATCGTAACTACTTTCTTGTGTTCCAGTTGCTGGTGAGCTTGGGAAGGTAACTTCACATCTAAAGATTTTTAGCATATTTTATACAAAGAGGATTTTAATTTTCAATATTTTTTACCGATAACGACCAGCATCTTCAGCTTGAGCATTACGAATAATCAATAAACCATCAGGATGTACTTCAACATCTATTTAACAATAAAAAATACTTTTTTTTCTTTATTCATAAAAAAATTTCATTTTACTGTTTGGTAAATCTTGACCATCTTTTGTAAATCTAAATTCATATGGACGTTCAGCAGCTACGTTAACTGCGCATTGTATAGTAATATCACGTCCTACAACATGACTACTTTCGTCACGTGCTTGAAGATGTACACCACCATGACTTTGTGAACCATGTTGGTCACCATGACTTTGAGAACCATATTGACCACCATCGCCTATAATAATTATATATATTTTAATATAGAAATGTATATTAAATATCACTGTCTTTAGCAAGCAGATAGAGCAAACAAAAAAAAAGCAAAAGCATTACTCGATGAGCGAACGCGTAGCACTAAAATATCAGAAGTATCTCCTGATGAGCAGATAAATTCAAGTCCATTATCTTGTTTTGTAACAGCACCCAATGATAAATAACCATTTGAAAATGAAAGACCTAGTGGTACACGTTCACTTTGTTGTTTATTTTGACGTGTTACATCCAAACGAAGTGTTGATGGATCAACATCTGTTCGACAAACAGCTTCAAGACGATGTCCTTCATTTAAATCAAGTTGATGGACATTCCATTGAACTCGTCGATATTGTGAAGCTATTATTTTATTAATAAGTAAGCAAAAGCAAAATAGGTATTATATGGTTATGAAGCAAAAGCATTTAAAACAGAAAAAAAGCAATAAAAACAAGTAATCAAATTCTCACTTACCATAATGACCTTGCTGGTTAGCTAAAAAATTAAAAGATAAATGAATTAAAATGAAAATATATTTTTCTAAATGGGAAGAACTCTTCTTAATAAATAAAGCATGGATTTACAAAAAGGGACTTTACTAAGGGAGCTAACTACAAAAGTCAATAGTTTTTTTTTCTCTATATTCTTCTTCTTTGTGTTCGATTAGAATTTTTAACTATAAATACAGAATTCTTTTGTTTGTTTTATTCAGTAGATAATATTCTTACATGCTTCTCTCCATTGAATATAAACTGGTGATGATACACGACCACGAGCATTCAAAACGTCAAGGTTGTATGTTCCAGCAACATCTGCTGATTGACCAGTAATACGTAAGAAACCACCGTCACCAACAGTTACGCCATTAGGTAAACTTGTTGAACCATCTTTTGTCCATGTCATTGTTGCTCCACTTCCACCCTATATATATATGCAATAAATTTTAGTTAAATAAATAGTACAAAAATAAGTTTATTTTTCATTTACAGTAACATCTGGTTGAATATCAACTGTTTCACCATAACCAACGTCATATTGGTTTTGTGCGAAACGAACTTGTGGTGCACCTCGACCGCGTCTTGGTGTGACATTAATTTGTAAATCTTGTCTATCTTCACCATGTGAATTACGTACAATAACTCGATATTTACCAGCTGCTTCTGGTACAGCACGATCAAGAACAAGACGATCTTGTGAAACAGTAAATAATGATGGAATTGGTTGATAACCAGCTCGATCATTTAATTTTTCCCATACAACTTCAATTGGTTCATGTGACTAAATAAATCAAAAATAGATAAATTTATTTTGTTCTTATTCTACATACAGATACTGAATATTGAACAATCATACGTTGACCTTCTTTCAAATTAATAACTGCTGGTCGAATAGTTATTTTTGGTGGACCACCTAGAAATAGAATTATAATGTTATATAAAATTCTTGTTTTTGTTAACAATGAAAACAAATCAAATAGACAATACAAAATAAGACAAGACAACGAAATACAACATTAATTAAGATAACCTTTCCGTTTAGGAAGTTTTGTTATCATAATTTGTTGCGAATCTGTTTTATTCTCTAATTTATCTTCTTTGATATTAAAGAAAAATTACTCAATAAATTTTTTAATACTATTAAAACTTACCTCCAATTGGTTGAGGTCGATGTGGAGCAACCTCAGGTTGAGGTCCAGCTTGACCTGGGAATTGATGACCTAAAAACAAAAAAATTTTATTCGAATAAAAGTCTTTCTAAATCAAAAATAAAACTAACCATGTGGATGGTCTAATTGAACAGCAATTCGGTCTTGGCGGCCATCAGGATGAGTAATTGTGCAAATATAGCTTCCTGCTTGATCAGGATGTGGATTTCGAATAACAAGATCATTGCCTTCTTGAACAACACCTCCTGGTAATGGACTACCATCTGTACGACCCCAAACAACCGATTGTGCTTGAGAATTCTAAAAGAAAACGGTAGAATTCTTTTGTTTCGAATTCAAAAGAAGTCTATGAGCTACTTACTGGAAGTTGAATTGGAATACGTTGTTCTGGTTGATTAGGATCTAAAACAATTGGTAATGGTAATCCATGTGGATCATATGGTCTTCCATGGATATAATATGTTTCTTGCGTAGGTGGTTGATATGGTGGTTGATAAGGTGGTTGTACTGGATCTTATAAAAAATTATAAAGTATAAAATATTATTTTCATTAAAATAAGTCTTTTTACATCCTGGTTGTTGACCCTCTGGAACACATTGATTGTTATATCCATCAAGTACATAACCTGCACGACATCGTTCACATCGATCACCTTCACTGTTTCCTTGACAGTTCTATTAAAAAAACAAAAAATATCAATAAGAATAAGAATTGCTAATAATAATAAAAAAATACATACCGAACATTTGCCTGTATCACGATCGCATTGATCTGATCGTTCATGACATACTGATCGGCAAGACCAACATTGTCCCAAATAGATACCAACCAATGGATGTGGACGACCATAACCATCAGCACATTTTTCACATGATGTACCTGTATAATTAGCTGGGCAATGACATGATTCAACTGTTGGTGCAGCATCAGCATAACCATCACGAGCAGCAACGTTTAATGTAACACCACGAAGGCTACAATTCAAAAATAAATTAATGAAAATAAAAGAGAAAAAAAATGAATTTTATCATACGCAGCATTACGTCGACCACCAATTGGATTTACTTTAATAAGTAAAGTATCCAAATCTGATAATGCCATAAGAATATTTTCTCGATCAATATGTGTACCATCTTTACGTGTAAATGTTCTCTAGAAGAAATGAAATGTTCAATAGATTTCATAAGTCATTTATATGTATATATAGATTTATACCTCATTACATGCTACGGTATAAGTAGCATTTGTATTTGCTTTGAATCGATGTGTTTGTGGGACTTTATGCACAAGATCAATGTTATTACCACGAAGCCAGATGAGATCATCGGTACTTGGTGCTTCATTATCTTTACCATCATTTGTAAAATGAATATCAATATTACCATCATATAATGTAACAACATCACCAAGAACTTCTTTTGGTGCTTTCCAATAGAGAACTTCATTAGCTCCTCGGCCCAATGAATTTTGATCAAGAGCAATTTCATGTCCACCATGACGTCTTTGAATTTTATCACCAGCTTCATATCGATCAGTAGCAAAATTCTTTGGTACAGCATTAAAATTACTCAATGGAAGAGAAACCTGATATGAAAAGAAAATAAAATAACTTGAAAAAAAAAAGATATTTCAAAAATAATTTACAGCTTGTCGTCTCCAATCTGATGATTGACAATCGCTTGATACACCCGAACAGAAACATGGTAAACAACCATTTGGTGTTACTGGATTCAAATAGAAATGACTACGTTTACATTGATCACAACGTGCTCCTTCAGCATTATATTTGCAGATACAACGATCACCACGGATCATATGTGTGCCAGATGGATCACAATCTATTACAAAATACAAATCAAATTTTTTTATATTTCATTTCGAAATAATTAAAATACAAACCTCCTGCTGGACCTGAAACTGGTTGGATATATTGACAGTCTTGTGGTGTGCCACGACGAGCATCTCCTTGATAACCTGGAGCGCAGTATTCACAATTTTGACCGGCGGTGTTGTGTTGACAATTCTAAGAAAACAAAAATAGACTTGAAATCTATTTAAAAAAATAGATATAAAATACATACAAGACATTGTCCATATTGTGAACATTGTGTTGAATGACCATTACAATTACATGGTGCTCTTTCTGGTTCTGGTACTTCACCTCCTTCTATCAAAATGAAAGAAATTTTTATATTAATAATATTATCTTAAATTATAGAAGACTACATACGAATAACAACATTAACAATAGCATCCGGAATAGCAAAAATAAATCCTTGATTATTGAGTGCTTCACATGAATAAGCACCAGCATCACTTAATCGACAATTACGAACTGTAAGTGTACCAGTAACAATACTTGCATCATTAGGATTTAAAGTTTGTGCCATTGAACATCGTCCATTATCTGAACCATCACCACAGATATGTCCCCAATTGAGACGCCAATTGATATATGGTGCTGGTGAACCACGAGCAATACATTGGATAGTTAATGTTTGACCAGCATTGATTTGAATTTGACGTTGTGGTGTTTCAGTAATTGTTGGTTTAACTTTATAAAAACAAAAATTAAAATAGATTTACTGATAATTTCTAGTTTTATAATCATTTACCACAGCCAACTTCATCTGAACGATCTGGACAATCATTATAACCATCACATTGAAATGATCGTGGAATACATACTGGATTTCCATTTGTACCATTGGTACCGGTACATTGAAATTCACTTGGTTTACAATAGTTTTGTCGTGGAAGTAATTCTAAAGTTAATCAATGAAATAAATTTTCAAAAAAATTACTTTCTCTAAACATACCACAATAATGTTGTTGTTCATCAGTTCCATCATCACAATCACTAACAATTATTTAATATTTAATTTTTTTTTTTCTAAATTTAAAATATTTCTTACCGATCACCATCACACATCCAAAATTTCTGAACACATTTTCGTCCTCGACTACCATCTGAACAACGAATTTCATTTGGTTGACAAACATCAGTACCTAAAATTTCAGATGAATGAATTTTTCTGTTTTTATTTATTAGTTTTCTTCTTTATTTATATTAAGCAATGCGGAGTGTAGCTTCTTAGAATTTATTATCGTTATATATATATATAATTTTTTTTCTTTGTGCATTTAGCGTTTTATATCTGCCTTTTGATTATAGCGTAAAGCGAAAAAAATATCTTACCACTTCCATCAGGTGCTAGATACATAGATAGAAAAGTTCGAAAAAAAATTCATAATAAATATTTCAACTTACGTCCACAAGTTTCATCACTATTGTCACCACAGTCATTTTTACCATCGCAGAGATAGGCACGAGGTATACATCGACCATTGCGACAAGTTGCTTCATCAATACCACATCCATAACTTGGTTGACTTGGGTAAACTAAATTTTAAAAAAGAACAATGTATTTGAATAAATATCATAAGTTAGTTTACCTGGTCCTGGAGCTGGAGCTGGAGCTGGGGCTGCACCTAATGAAATAGAATAAAAATAATAGAATATTTTTAGCATGATAGTTATGTTTTAATTACCTCCGAATGTCAAAACACTGTTTGCATCAACATAGCTGCTATCCGGAACATGACAACGATAATTGCCCAAGTAAGGTCGTGAAATTGGTCGAATATGAAGAGTTTTACCACGTGGATAAAGTGGTTGTTCATCATTAATTTGCTAAAATTAAAAGAAAAACAATAAGTTCTCTTTGTTACATATTAATTTAAAAATCTAAGCATTAGATCAATTAGTATTTAGCCTAATCAAATATTTTGATTTACTCACTTCCATTGGTTCAGACTATTCTCAACGAAAAGAAACGAAAAATGAAATAATAGAATCACAATTTGTCATTAAAGCTTAGTTTTTTTATTAGAACCCAAGCTCGTGTGAAACTTACCCGTGTTTCAATTAACTGTAAAAATAAGGAAGAAAAATTTTAATTCTAAGGAAACCGATTGGAATGTTTGTTTTAAATATTTTTACAAAATAAAATTAGTAGTCAAAAAAAATCAATACATACTCGATTATTGAAGAACCATTGAATACGGGCTTCATCGTCTGGTGCGGCACCTTCACATTGAATTTCAACATAATCACCATCAGTCATATCTGGTGCAACAATACGTAAATACTGACCACCAGCGCTTGCTATAAAATATATAAAAATTAAAATTAAAATTCTTTATCGAACTAACGTCCTGGTGCAACTCCTCCTGGATAAACAGGATGTGGATAGCCAGGTTGTGGGTAAGCACCATGTGAATGACCAGATTGTGAACTATCAGGTTGTGGATAATAAGAAGCACCTTCTAATAAAGTAAGGGTAGCTGAGCCAGTATTGCCAGCAGCATCTTGTGCCATACATGTATATTTTCCAATTTTACTTCCATCATCGATTGTAAGACGTGATCGTAAAATAACTTGTGCAGCTGTTACTTGTCTATCGTTATCAGCACCGGGTGGGTCTGTTAGAGCATAACGCTAAAATAATTTTTAAAATAAATTTATTTGAAATAACAAATATGAAATCTTTTACGCGTTCAGGTTCATCTTGAATCCAATAAATATTGGTATTTGCATCAGCTCCATAGACAGTACAAGCTAATTCAACTGTTCGACCACGTTGAACTTGAATGACATCTGGATTGATAACAACACGAAGTTCAACTTGACCACCTGGTGCTGGTGCTGGTGCTGGTGCTGGAGTAGGTCCTATTAAAAAATATAAAAATAATTATTATCATTATTATCTCAATCTATGAGCGGTAGATGTATTTAATATATTTTTTAGATTTTTATACATCGATATATTATTTTAAGAAAAATCAAAATTGAATAAGTAAAATTTATTTTAATATTTCTACTTGCCTTCAGCTTCATCAGCTCGTGTTGCATTTCCTATAAAAATAAAATTATTCGTATTTCATTATAAAATAAATCCATGTAAGACAAACAAGCAATTAGCAAAAATATATATAATAGTTAATATCATGCAATATTTCTTAAAATGATGATGAACATAAATAAATACGATTACACGTGTACTGACATATATTTTGATTGTAAAAGAAATTAATTGATTAGTAAGCAATGAGCACGATTACAGAAATATGAGCGATATGGACTTATTACTAAATCTCACTTTTTGCATTTGGGTCTGATGGACCTTTGGGATTTGTATTTTCCTCTTCTTCATCATTCTCATCATAATACGCAACATCATCATCTGATGAAGCTGGTGTTGTGCGTACTACTCTTGGAGATGATGTTGTTGTTGTTATTGGCGTTGTTTCGGGTTTCGCATTATCCTCGTCAACGCCGTCATCTTCTTCATCGTCTCCAGGTACGACAGTTGTCGCTTGTGGTTGTTTATCACCTTCGTTTTCGTCATCTTCATATTCTCCGGCTATTCATGCACAAACGCAAACAGTCATAAAACACATGCAAAATAAGAATCATTCAAAAATATTCACTCAATAAAACTTACCATCTGCTTCACCTTGATCTGAAATTAAAAAAGAAATTTCAATTATTAAATTGAATGAATTTCTAGAGAAGAAAAACCAACACATGCAGTAAAAGCAAAGAAACAAGTAAAACAATGAAATCAGGTTTATCATTCTTGGGATATTGATCGTGCATGAACCACTTCATTCGAAACCAGGATAATACGATCGGTACCTATTGTTGTTATTTGTGATGCTTCTGTACCGGCACTACCTGCACTTTCTGTTGATGTTTCGTTATCAAACACTGTTGTCAACGAGGCATCAACTGTAGTGAGTTCAACTGTTGCACCAGTGGCGCTTGTAGTTCCTTCAGCAGCAATACTTGTGTCATTTCCTGAGTCACTGTCTCCTGGTTTGATTGATGTAAATATATCAGTACCATTATCAACAATAACAATAGTTGATGTTTCAAGAACACTGTCGATGGCTGTTGCTGTAGCTCCATCAGCTGTAGTTCCACCTTCAGCTGTGACTGCATCAACAGTTGCTCCGGTTGCAGTAGCAGCCGGTTCAACTGTTGCGGTACCAGCTTCATCAGCATTGATTGTAGCTGTAGTTCCAGGTGGTAAAACAATTGTTGTACCATCAGCAAGTATGGCTGTTACTGTTGCAGCATTTTCTGGTGCATCAGTAACCGTATTATCAAGAGCTACATAGTATAAGTGTATTTTTGCGTATATATGTGTATGTATTAGTAAAGAAGAAGCAAGAAAGTTTTTTAGCAATAGAAAAAGCAGCTTAATTTATAGTATTAATGAAATTAGAGAAAGAAAATAGGTTGATCTTCTACAAAACTTACCATTATCTGCTGTACTTGGTCCAGCTAAAATAGAAAGAAAAAAGATTTAATTAATGATATATATATTTATAAATAAAAGATATGTGAAAGAAAAACAATGGAGTACTCAGCAGGCAAAGCAAGCAAGTATATAGAGATTTAAATCAACAAAACGGATCATGCTATTTGATGTATATTCAATTGTATTTCGTCATCACACCTGACGGCATAGTTATTTGAGCAAATAATGATATTTGTGGAAGAGTTGGTTCAACAATATCAGTTGTTGCTTGAGGAAAATTAATGCGATCAACTTCATTGCTAATTGTTCCAGTAGCGATAGTGACTGAAGATGAATATTTTATCGATATTGTTAATTGATTTCTCTTTTGATAATGTTAATTAATTATTATACTTACCACAATCAATCTCATCCGAACCATCATCACATTCAGGATTTCCATTACAATATGTAGCACATTTTTTGTTATCATCTTTGCAAGCCTTAGTTCCTTCCGGGCAAGTCACGCCTAATAGCGGGAAAAAGCAAGTAGCAAAAAGAAAAGCATGAAGGAGTTAATTATTGAAAGAAACTAATACGTATATATGTATAGATTCAATTTTGTATGCAGAGAAAAAAAGCGTTGAATTTTTAAGAACATCAGCTTACCTTCGTCTTGTCGTCTAAACCGCAGCCTTGAATCGACTTTAGCGGAAGCACTCTAGTGTAAAAAAAATTTATAAATTATTTATTTTATAAACAAAAAAAAAAGTGTTGTTTTTACTTGTGATAATGATATGCATGCCAAAAAGCACAGAAGTAATCCTGTGATGATTTTTGCGTCCATCCCGGAAAAATTAGGATCGACAAGTTTGGAAAAAGATTAAGAGAATGATATCTGAAAAAAAAGTACATAGACATATAAAATCGAATGTTTTGTTTGCATATGTACATATGCATATGCATACGATTTCGAAAGAGAAAAAAAAAGTAACGAAAAACACATCGATGCTTTTAAAAGTATTAGAATAATATATTTTTGAAAAGGTATAAAAATAAATTTGAAAGCATTAACCTTCACAAACCTCATTTTGTCTCGCAAAAACAAACACTTCTTTTTAAGTATGTATTTCTGTTTGACTAAGTAACATACATGTCTTATTCAATATACTATATAAAGAGAAACCAGTTGATATCTGGTTTCTATCATGATGTAATTCTCTTAACTATCTAAATGATTTATCTGAGAGAAGAAAGAGTATTACATGGTTCATCTCACACGCGTATCAGATATAAACAATTTCACTTGAAGGACATATCTTTCTTTTCATAGATCATAATTTGGTCTTCACACATACATTATGTACATACATATATATATATATATATATGTGTGTGTATATGTATATATAGTAACGACTTTGAGATGTAATAACATGTAAAGGACAAGGTCCAAAATAATAATTAATAAACATTTACTGGTATGTGAAAAGAAAACAAAAGGTTTATTTTAAAATTTTGTCCTCGACTAGATTATCTCTTAATTATTTACTTACGTTAGTTTGTCTCCTGGGACCGAAAAAAATGAGAAATGGATGTCGAAGTTATATACTAATGGGGGAAAACGACTGTCTTTGCTAACATATATACAAACAAGTAGTGCATACCGTGCAAGCCGTGTCTATCATTAGTCTAACTAAGATAAATAATTTTTTTTT